TACGGACCCTTAAAGTTGTCTTTATAATTCGTTTAAACACCTCAACTAAGGCTTGTACCGATTGAACAATTTTATTATTTAAAATATGTATCTATTGAACACTTTTAGCTGACATGACAAAAAAAGTGAAGCACACAAATACTGCAGTGCGTGAAAGGAGCAGTTTTTGGCTAACTTTTTTAAAATCTCTTTCTTCTTTAGCCATAACCCTTTTTCCAACACTACCCATTTCCGGTTACTACCATCATTTTCATCTGAAACACTATAACCATCAATGGTTTTTAATATAGTTTTTTGGGCATTTTTTCACCTTCTTCTTTCTTAACTTAACCACCATTCATCATCATAAATTAAAATCGATTATACAGATATCTAATTAGATCTTTGGATCTGATCTTAGGTCTTTTTTTTTTGTCAATATGACGACTATGTTGTTTATTGGATAAATTATTAGATGGAATATATTGAGTTTAATCATGTATGCCGAGTTTAGAGTTCATTTCTCTATTTTCAAATTTAGTTTTTTTTTAAAAAATTGTCTGAGAAAGCTAGTGATTTGATCATTATTTAAACTAGTATAATTTTTTGTTATCTTTCCAAACAAAAGAAAAATCAAATTTAAGAACGGTAGTTTCTGGTGATTTTTTTTTTTCCCAACAAGTTCAATCTCGACATAAACTTATGTCAATGTAATCCAACAATAAACATTCACATTAATTAATTAAAATTGTTAGTTAAAAAACGAAGAGTTCTTCAAATTCAAGAAATATCAATTATGTAATTCAGAAAAATATTTCAGATAACGCCATTTTTCCTGATCATTGTGATAGAAATTCGTAATTTTTCGGCAAAACATTATTCATGTTCCTCGTACAAAAACCAGATGAAGAGAAGATTACAATTGAAAAATAGATTGAGGGAGGAATTGTGTGTTGGATATGTTACAGTTTGGAACTGGAGAAAAAAATGAGGGCTTGCCGTGGGTGGGTGGGTTTTTCTAGAAAATTCTTTTTTAATTTTTTTAGTTAGTTAAACAGATTAAAATTAAAAAATAAATAAATTATAATTTCATTTTTTAAATAATTTTTTTTTACTACAATGCCATATGTCATCATTTAATTCATCAATTTTCTATGTCATTGCCACATCACAACGAGTGTAGTACACACATCTCATATTTTTGGTTGATTGTCAAAAAAATGTCAAATAGGTATCAATTTTAAGGGGTATATGTGTTCAATAGGTACAAGCCTTAATTGAGGTGTTTAAACAAATTATGCGGACAACTTTAAGGGACTGTAGATGACTTAAGTCTTTTTTCTTGATATTTTCTTCTGGACTTCTCTTAGTTGAAATGAAAATGACTATGTTTAATTTTTGAGAGATTTAGAATGAAATCGGGTGTTTTCACATTTTACCATAGTGTTCGATTTGTCTGATTTATGATTAATGAACAAGAAGGAAAATGAAACAATTGGATTTTGGAGTCTACCTCAGCTATGTATCCTTTGGATGCTTCGCGCGCTCGCCATCCGTGAAAACAAGCTAACTCCCTATATTGGAAAGTGAGGGAAGAGTGCATATATATAGAAGGGACAAGTCACAAGTGTATGAAACAACAAACTATTAATTTAAAATAAATGTTATAACCACGGTTTCATTTAATTCTAATTCGTAGCAAACACTTTGTCATTCGTCTCTCTCCTCAAAATCTTGCTCGCCACTCTCCCTCGCCTCTCTCACTTTATACAAAAATAAATGTAAAAATTGTGTTTGTGTTTGTATAAAACGAGAGAAAACTGTATAGACAAATACATATATCTTCGTCCTATACACTTATAATTATACAATACAAATCTTCTCCTACTCAATTCTCTTTTGCCTTTCTCTCTTTCTCGCTTTATACAAACACAAAATATACAAAATATCGTGTATAATTTGTGTTTGTATAAAGCGAGAGAGAGATTTGATATACAAATACATCTGTTTTAACTCGATTCAATTGTATACGAATTCAAATTTTATGCAGATATACAAACACAAAGAACATATACATATACAAACACAATTTTCATAGATATAGACATCCGATTTATATAAATCACTGTGATTTATACAAATCAGATGCCTGTGATTTTATACAATCAGATGTTGCCTGCAATTTTTATACAAATTTGATGCTACAAGCAAACTATGTTTGCTATGGAGCGCAAATAACAAAACTATAGCTAAGAGCGCTAATGTGATTTTTATGTTTGTTAAACCTAATATAGAATCTCTTATTAGCTTAATTGGATTTTGTTGGATACGACTATAGAATACCAAAAATAAAATTAGCTTAAGCTTCAGGCCAATTTTTTAAAAATAGTCAAGTTTAAAAAAATTATTTAAAAAATAACCACTTTTGATATGGAACACCAAAATAGTGTCATGAAATTCAATACACTATTATAAATTTTGAACTCAAGAAAATAAAATAAAATTCCATGATAGTGTTCTGGATTTAATCGAGAATACTATGATAGAATTTGACTTTTTTAAAATTTACAATTCATGGCACTTTTATGGATTCCAAAAATTAACTATTAACTTTGAAATATACGACTATTTTTGAATTACAAATTTGAATTGACTATTTTTAAAATTCTATCCAACCATATGTTATCACTTATCAAAGCTTCTCTAGAAGCAAGTTGAGAAGAAAATACAAAATACCTCTAACAAATAACTGAGTGGGTTGAATTGTATTTGAGTCTATCAATATGAGTTAAATTAATAAATAAATGAATTATTAATATGCATAAAAGTTACTTTGGTTGAAATGCGGGTAATAACACAATTCATCTTATTCTTACTAAGTTTTAATTCTTTTATTTATTTTTTAATAATTTTAGTATCTAATGAAACTATTTTTTTCATCATGGATATACATAAAATATCAATTAATAAAAATAATTTTTAAAAAGTATTTTGATAATATTTCTCATGGGTCAATTTGGACTATTGGCGTATTCAGTACAGAGGAATATGAAAATGTTTTCCAATTTCATGTTCGATTCAAGATTTTTGGAAAAAAATTTCTTAAAAAAAGAAAAATGACTTCTAAAATAGAAATAGAGAAACAAGTTGTACAAATAATATTTTATATTAATTGTCCTCCTACCCTCGAAATACACTTCATCTTTACTCCTACACCTTTAGTCTTTCCCGATCCAGATCCTACCCTTTACCTTTATAGTATTTGTTTAGATTATGTAAAAATATTTTTAAGGATAATATTTCTGAAATTTTTCACAAAATTGTTCTAGTGTACGAAAGCCCATATAAAGAATATAAAATTTTGGATAAATACATGGTACGCATTCCAAGGATTCTGTCTTAGCAAGCACCAATCACGGACTGTAGAGTCATATTACTCATATATAAAGTAGTACTCCCTCCGTCCTATTTTATTTTATGTGAGAGTTTGATTCGGCACGAAGTTTAAAAAAGAATTTTGTTTTTTAAAACTTGTGGTTCAAAATGAATAATAGAAATTTGTATGACTGTAAATCATTTCATTAAGGAAAAAAATATACATTTTATAGTTAAATTGTTACTTAATATAATTTTTTTTTTTTTTTGGACTGACTAAAAAAGAAGATAAGTCACACAAATTGAGACCGAGGGAGTAGTAAATATGCATGATTATATAAATTATTGCAATAATGATGAGGTTAAAAGTGAATTACATAATTATATGTGAATATATAGATATTGAATATCACTGCTTAATTAATTAATAGTCATAGAGAAACGTTTTTCGACTCAATGAGAAAGATTAATTAATACGTGAATTATTTCACACAATATATCATCAAGAAATTGAACTTCAAATCTTAAAATGAATTTTGAACTCCTTTAATCACCGAGTAAACCTCTAATCTTGTGTTCAAGGGATTCAAAACTTATATATATAACTAAAAAATAAAACTTATATATGATGTGTAATTTTTTGCCAAGGAAATTCGGGTGAGCACTCTCACCTCCTCATAGATTTGCTCTTGGTTGTATCAGTGAGACATAAACTCAGAATTGTTATATACTTTAATAACATATCAAATTCAAATCGTGTGTTCATTTCACCCATAAACTTAAAAAGTTGAAAAAAATTGTATTTTTATTTAATTAATTATATAATAAATCATAACTACTTCAAAAGTCAGATTCCATAAAGTGACAATTTACAAAGTCAAGATCAGCAAGAAAATCCCAAATATGATCAAAATGAGTTAGTGAACTTCACCCCTCTATCATATAAACTAACGAGTGGTTTAAAATGAAGAATTATTTTATCGTGTGTTTGATTGGAAGTATTAGACGGTCTCTGAATTATTTATTCCATCATTTATACTTTAGCGATGAGATAAATTATCTCATATATATGATGAAATAACTTATTTCGAAATAACTTGTACTCAACCAAACGACGTATTCAAAATCGGGCAGAGTGGGAGTGGTATCTAGGGTGGGGGTGAGGGTGTAGTGGGGTGAGGGGTTCACATGTCAGATACAAGAATCTCACGGACGAACAATGGCTGGCCGGAAAAAGCCACAAGAAAAGGACACAAGCAACCTATACAACCTCATGTGTTTCTATACACAAATTCTTGTCCTTTCTATAACCCCACATGCACCCGCTAACCCGAGTCAGAATTTTCATTAAAAATTTTTAAAAGTACATAAAAAATCAATACGATTCAGCATTTATTATATACAATGTAGTTTTCCGTCCAAACTACTCTCTCTATCCACTTTTAATTGTCATGTTACATTTTTCAAAAGTCAATTTGATTAATGTTCAAAGTGAAATTAGATTACATTAATTCGATATTTTAAACAATAAATTTAGATATTCAAAAACTATAAGAAAAATATTATAAATTGCAATTTTTTGCATATCAACATGATGAAAAAATATATCGTAAAATAATAATCAAAGTACTTCTGCCACCTATCATTCTCATCCCTACCCCCTCACTCTCCAATTATCCTTCAATCATAACACCAACTCCCTCCTCCTCCATTCCAAAATTATTACTAGCATTAATGGCTTCCACTTCAAAATCTACTAGATTTTTCTTGATTTGTATTGTTATTGATTTTTTTTCTTTATCACTAGCCTTGCACAAATCACCATCTTTGTTAAATATACCATCTTCTTCTATTTCAGCTGCCCCTGCATTGTTACCAAATCCACCTGCTCTGTCTCCTGATATAAGTCCTCTTTTTCCTTCACCAGGTGGCTCTGAGCTTGCTCCTACTGATTCTTCATTACCCTTAATTCCTTCTAGCCCTAGCCCTCCTAATCCTGATGCTATGATTGCTCCTGGACCTGTTTATATGCCGTTTTCGCCTACTCAGTCTCTACCGGTGTCCTCTGCTGTTCCTCTGTTTTCATCTTTATGTACAATGGTGGTGTTGAGTTTGATATTGACCTGGTTTACTCAGCTCCCTGGTGTGTGAAGGTTCAAAGATGTTTGGTTGTGGGATCTTGTGAGGTACTTTTGATGAAGTTTCACACTTATTTGTTTACTCTGTTATGATTTATTTATGTAACTATACTTTTGTCATCTCCTTTTGGTAGAGTATAATTTGTTTGTTGAATAAGAAGGAAATAAGCACAATTTTGTTTAGTTTATCTCAAGATCTGCATTTTGGTTCTTTTGTTGAATGACTATAATGTAATAAGTATATGTAGTGGCAGAGCCACAGATACTTGAGGAGTGTAAACTGATCAAAAAATTATATTGTGTAGATAGGTAATTAAGTGTTTTTTTCTTTTTGTTGTATGTATTATAGTGTGTTTGAATTCTCTTGATTTCCAGGTATATTTACTTGTTTATATTTCAATACCCCTTATTTAAATTCCTAGTTCTGCACTATGTATATAAAGGAGTTGAAACATGGATAAGAACGATGGGAGGAGACTCGAAGCACTTTCCTATGAAGATGGGATTATACTAGGGGTCAACTCTTGGCCCGTTTCTATGTGTCTTGGTGATGGATGTGTTGATGCGAGACATTTAAAATGAGGTATTGTGGTATGTGTTATTTGTGGATGATATAGAACAAATTAATGAGACGCCCAATGGAGCTAATGCTAAGTTAGATCATAGATGCGTAGAGACAAATTTTGGAGGCTAAAGGGTTCTGGTTGAGACCGACCGAAATAGAATATGTGTAGTGCAAATTCAGTGATGTGAAACATGAGGTAGGTGTGGACGTGAAACTTGACATACAAAATTATCCTTAAGAGAGATGGATTCAAGTATCTTGGGTCTATAATTTAGAAGAGTGGGGACATCGATGATGATATCACACACCGTATTGGTACGGCGTCGATGAAGTGGAGGCTTGCCTCTTGAGTCTTGTGTGATAAGAAGGTACCGCCAAAAACTCAAAGATAAGATCTATAGAGTGGTGGTTCGACCGATATTGTTGTATGAGATTGAATCTTGATTAGTCTAGAAGATGCATGTTGTAAAGATGAGAATGTTGAGATCGAGGTGAGGTCATACTAGGAGTGATAAGGCTATAAATGAGGATAACCAAAATAAGGTAAGAGTGATATCTGTTGTGGGCAAAATGAGGGAAACGAGACTGAGATGGTTTGGACATGTTAAAAGGAGATGCATAGACACACAAATGAGGAGGTGCGAGAGATTGGTTATGAGGTACGATGAGAGGCATAGATAGGTCGAAGAAGTCTTGGGAGAGGTGAGATAAGACATGATATGAAACAACTTCAGGTTACTGAGAATATGACTCTTGATATGAGGGCATGACGACATGTATTAGGGTAGAATATTTGTAGGTAGTGTCGTGTTGTCTTGCTTATGGTGACTTGTGTACAATACTAGTTGTAGTATTGTAGTGCATCGTTGTTTATTATTTATTTTGTATAATCCATCCTAGTATATTGTTTATGGAGTTCCGATTATCACATGATTTTATTATTGTTTTGGTTCCTCTCTGGTAGACCTTTGCACTGTTTCCTTTTTATTTGTTATATTCTCTTCATAGTCTCTATCTTCTTTATATCGAGATTTGTTGCACTTGAGTGGAGGGTTTTCAGAAACAGTCTCTCTACCTCCACGAGGTAGTAGTAAGGCCTACATACATTCTACCCTCCCTAGACCTCACCTGTGGAATTGCACTGAATATGTTGTTGTTGCCACTACGTAAACGTCTGCATTGTGTAGGTAGGGGTGTTCAATGTTTGGATACAAATCGAAAAATCAAATCAAACGATTTTATTTGGGTTTGATATGATTTTACATTTTTAAAAACCGATAATATTTGATTTGATTTTGTTAAAAAAAACTGAAAAACTAATATGAACTAAGCCGATACATACATAATAAATTATTATTTTTTATGAACAATGGTAAAAATATCTTATATATATGTTTTTCATCAAAATTTATTTATAATTTATTTATGAAAACAAAAATGTTTAAAACGAGAACATTTATCCTTTTAATTTCATGTATATAAGTATCTATGACAGTTCTTGGTAGGATTAGAAATGCTACTCTCTTTCTTGTCTAGGCCTGGTGAATTGTGAACCTTTATTTACAATAAATTCAATAGTCAAAAATTTTGTAACAATAAACGATCCAAACTGACCCATAAACACAACATACCTGGCTGCTGACTTATGCTGTTATGCAATTATAAATTGTGGTAGTATCCAAAAAATGAACGTAGAACTGATTATTTAATACTTTATTACTATTCCCTTAGTCCACAATTGTTTGGCAGGTATACTAAAAATAGATGTCCAAGATTAATTGTCAATTTAAACAATTAAGAAATAATTAGTCACTTTTTTCCAATTCTGCCCTTAATGATTGTGTAGTTCAATTGAAAAGTTATGTGGACTTTTGGTATTCTTGATATAGGAGGGTTATATTAGTCAAATTACACCTTGTATTAAATTTTCCTTAAGGGATGTGCATGACCTTACCCTGACAAACAATTGTGGACGGAGGGAGTACT